TTTTTTTTTTTTTTTTTTTTTTTTCCAATCAGCATCCAGCGAAATTTATTCGAAGCTACGACCATACACGAGGCAATATTGTCTTACTTAGCTAGGCAACGTTCGATAAGCGCGATCGAAACTCTCTGGAAAGAGAGGAATATACGAACTATAGAGTAGAAAAATAAGAAAAAAAAAAAAACAGAAAAATCTCAACTAAAAGCAGCCAATCTTATCAGTACAGGATGTCACTTGATCTATACATGAAAAAAAAGAAGAAAATGTTATGTAAAGTTTGCCAAAAAAAAAAAAAAAATGGCTTGTTACAGAGTAAATATTGTATGTACGGAAGGTAGTCACGCGTTTTTCTTTATCACTTGATTTTTACTTATTAAAGTATATTAAGTATAAAACTAGTAGAGAACTAGTACGAAGAATTAGAAATGTAATTTTACTGAAATTCGCATACGAACTTCGTTTCATCAATTTTATTATTTATCACTCTTGATGGAATTGAAAATTATTTTTTTACAATTAATGATACGAAACTGTTAGTAGTATGAAAAATGACATACACTTAACATCATCTGCACACTGTAATGGAAAATGCGTCGCTATTTATATAGTTTATATATACAATATTCGTTCATAACTCTATAACAAATTTAATGTCGAGTTTTATACAATATTTTTATTTTATCTTTTTATAATTTCCACAATTTTCATTAATTTCGTTAAAAAAAAAAAATTGTAAATACTCTTTAAGTATGAATAAACCTGTGTGCGAAAACTGCATACCAAAATGTATCGTGGTTTCCTTAGAAAAAAAAATCCCCCAAAAAGGGCCCAGAACTTTCCCCAGTGTCCAGCAATTGCATCCAGATGTCCCAAGTGCCGTAAACTGTAGAGAAAGTTAGGCCTGGGACTTGGGATCATTTTATGGCGTTTGTGTGTATGTGTGTATGCGTGTAGGAATGACGAATTTTGTGCAGATAAGGGAAAAAGAACAGTGAGTATCGAGAAGTCAGAGAGCGAGTATTGAGAAGTCAGACAGTAAGTTGAGAGTTGCGCGAGAGAGAAGTTTAAAGTTTTTTCACTTTAATCATTATAACCATTATTAAACCAATTTTCGTTTATGTAACCTTAAATAAACACCTATCCCTTTAACAAATTCCTACAAATTGGAATCTCGTCCGGGATCCTACAAAATTATTTAATAATAAAAATAAAGATGGTGGAAGTAATCAAAATCCAATATTATTTATTCGTGGAAATGCTATATCAGGAGATCCTAATATTAATGGAATTAAGAAATTTCCAAATCCTCCAATTATGAATGATATAACTATAAAAAAAATTATTAAAGCATGACTAGTAATAATAGAATTATAAATTTGTTCATTATTAATTCATATTCCAGGTCTATCAAGTTCTATTCGAATTAATATACTAAATGATGATCCAATAATTCCTGATCATAAAGCAAATATTATATATAAAATATTTTTATGATTTGTAGATATTAATCATTTATTTATATAAATTTTATATAATATACATATATATTAATTTTAAATATTAATAGTTTTATTACTTAAAATTTATATTATTATATTTAAAAAAAATAAATTATAAATTATTTATAAAATTTTAAATTATTCTAATATTAATATTACTATATTTATGTAAAATTTATATATATATTTTTTTAATTTTGAAGATTAATAGTTTATTTAACTTTTTTAAAATTTTAATATTAATTAATTAATAATGGTAATATTTTTAAATTTGCAATTTAACGTTTTTATAAACTATAATTAAAATTATTTAATAATTATTGAACATAATAAATAAAAATACAAATATATTTATAAATAAAAAAATTAATGAATTTATTCTTTTATTAATTTTAAAATAGATATAATTATTATTTATGTATATAAATTTTTTAAAAATAATTAAATATTTTCATATTAATAATAATCTTGATAATAAAATATAACAAATATAAATATAAAATTAATTTATTAAATTCAATTATTTCATATAAAAAATTTCATTTTAATATAAATCTAAACACTAATGGTAATACAGAGTAAATTAGAATTCATAATTTAAATATATAATTTTTGCAAGTCGGATTACCAGAATACCTCCTTAAAATCGAGTCTATTAGCGGCGCGGGGAAACTGGGAACGATCGAGCAGTGAATTCTAACAGCCAAGCTCGAGAACTCGATCGCATCGCATGTGTGCAGCTCCGCGCATTAATAAAATTCACCCTCATTTGAATACGGCTATAAATCGGGGGAGGATTGGATCGTGATTTCACGGCGTTGCAGCCGTGTGACGAATAAACATAAATCGGCCGCGAGAGTCACCAGGAGCCGGGCAAATGAGAAGCAAGAAGAAGAAGGCGCACACGTAAGGGGAATCAACGTATTTAAATTGTAGATGATACCTCGGTTTGCGAAACTCCGCGAGCGGAGACTCGGAGGGTATCTTTTCGTCCTCGGGGTCTTCTTTTTCCATCCGATGCGACGTCTCCAGCTCAGCCGACCCGAGAGTGACGTGGAAAACGAGAGTGATCACAGGAAAACCAGCGAAAACCACCAAAACGAAGCTCTTTTCTCTCTCTCTCTCTCTCGTGTTCGCGCCGACTCATTCGAAAAAAGTTCTTATCGCTCGAGAGATGAAAACGCTTCGGGAGAAGGTTTCTTGCAACGTTGCTTCGATAACATCTCGCCAAGTGTGTTCTGCGGACTGTGTTCTGCATTCCTCGCGGAAGATAAATAGTACGGGCAATTGGAAATTGTTGTAACTTATTCAGGATTATGGAATATGAAAATGATATATAAAAAGTCGGAAAGAGTTGCTCGCAGCTATTCTTCATCAACTGGAGAACAAAAGAGTAGCGGAGTCTGTTTATTAAAAAACTGAGAACGTAGGTATCGCACTGATACAATAAACGGGTGATCAGAACACTACAACAGAAATCAAGGATGGAAGGATGGATTCTCGAAAAAAAAAAAAAAAAAGGAAGAAAATACATTTTTCGCTTTTGAAGAAAAGCGTCGATACTGCTGGCCAGTTATCGCATACGTGGAACAATACACAGGATTCATGGCCGCATGAAAAATTTATGTCGAAACCAGTCTGTGACGCAAACGCGCTTGATGCAGCGGATGGATCGCGGAGGCTGTTTCCCGAAGGTGAGCGGCGCGATTTCGATGCGTACAATGGAATACAGGATACACGGGATCTGGAGATGAGAGAGACACGCGCTTCTCAAATTCCTATTTAGGTAAATATGCGTGAATCTTCGATGAAGTTGTTTAATTAGTGGGGAGTTACGATATAATGATTAATTAATACGATTATAATTAATGCAATTAATTGGAAATAAAATGTAAATAAATAGAAATAAGGAATTAGAATATTATTTGATAATATTAAATAATATTAAATGAAAATAATATTATTGATAATATTAAATATAAAAATAATATTATTTTATATATCATAATATGAAGTAATATTAAATAATATAAAAATAATTTTATTAATAATATTAAATAATATAAAAATATTATTGATAATATTAAATAAATAAAAAATGTAAATAACTAGAAATGAGGAATTAGAATTAGAATATTATTTGATAATCAATGATCATTGATTAATTAATAACGGAAAAATCATAAAGTGATTATGAGTTTATTTTTGATTATTTACTTTTATCAATAAGATTATGTATATTTCGTAGAAACTATATATTTATTATTTACACTGTTTTGTAATTTTACGCAATTACCGTACAATTTGTTCAAAAAATTTCCCATGAATTGAAAGTTTCGTCTATCAACATGTGAGTCTAAGTAAAACAACTCGAGTGTGAAAGTGGTATTTCTAAAACTAGCATAATACGGATATTAAAAGGAGAAAAGTTTCACCCGTCATTTATCTTACATCAAGATCTTCGCGGAACAGTATACATGTTTCTCAGTGGAGTTTGCAGCAACATGAAAGTGACTGACCATTCTTTAAAAGAACTTAAATTTTTGAACATTAGTTATTTCAAGGTCACGTTACATATCTGAATGTATTCCTTTTAGCAGCTACACGATGCAATGAAAAAAAATATATAATGTGAAAAAAAAACATCAATGATTTTGAAAATTCCGAAAAAAATGACCTTGGAAAAAAATTCTTAGTAGTTATCTTTTAATATCATTCATGTTAAGTGAAAAATATTTTTTGCATCGTCACAATTCAAAATGATATTTAAATGGCTTCATTTAAAATAAACATCAATAAAACTTAGTTAATAAGATCCAGTTCTCAACCAACGTCCATACCGAACTGAATAAACTCGTTCTCGTCCGATCACGAAAGTTAAGCAGTGCTGGGCACGGGTAGTACTTAGATGGGTGACCGCTTGAGAACACCGTGTGATGTTGGTTTCTTCTTTTTTTTCCTTTTTTTCTTCATAATTGGAAGCTACTTTAGACTGCTTATGAACAATTATTTTATCCGAATTTTAAAATAACTTTATGTTAAATATTAATAAGTCCTTTAAATATTTCGAAGAA